GCAGGGAAGACTTAGATACAAAGCCTGACCTGACCGGGACTGACCTCATTCACATAGTATCAGATAGCGAAGCAGAATGCTAGAATGCTAATGACTAGCCCAATCAATGTCTGAATGCAGACCAAACATACACCGTATCCATCACCAGGTGTGAAGGAGCCTGGCACTGTACACAGGAAGAAAGCGCCAGGTCCAGACATACGCAGACGAAGAGGAGGGAATCAGAGGAAAGGAGGGAGAGAGATGGGAATGTCGTCAACACCAAGTCTTTGTCACAAGTCCCCAAATAATCCCTCGTTGCAATGTCTGAAGTCCAAAAGTCGAGTCTGGATCCGATGTCACCAAGCTCTTTCKCTCTTCTCTCGTAGTCTGCAGATGCAGTGAAGTCAGATGATGAGAGGGTGAGAGGGAGATGGCGGACTGAGAAGAGGAAGAAGAAGAACTCTCTCTCTCTGTTACGAGCCAGATACTAACCTGTGATGTTGGCGCTGTGCTGCAGGTACCTCGAAGACGAAGCTGGAGCAACGGCGCTGCAGGTAAGTACCTCTGGCCTCCGCCCAATCTCTCTCTCTCTCTAGTGCTATCCTAGCTATGGCGCCCAACGCTGGAGACTACAACTACCCACTGCGCCCAGCGCTGAAGACTAAAGGCTAACGCTACTGCTACTCTGCAGCGCTCCCTCCAGAGTGCTGGTGTCGAATTATGAAGACTACTACTGCCTCCTGCCTACCTGTGAAGTGCATGGGAAGTCCCTATGTACTACCTCGGCCTGCCTCCTGACTGCCTGAAGGGCGAGCCAGGCCGAGGAGGCTGCTCTTGCGAATGTCGAAGTGTGCCAGGGGCTGGCGCTGCAGCAGTTGCTGAGGCTGGCGTGGGAACATGCTAAGAATAGCCTGTTCCCGAAACCCTGGTTCGGTGCCTGAGTTTCAGGGCCGGTCGTTCTGATGAACGACCGAAAATGGCCCTTCGTTTCAGGCTAAAAAGGTTGTTGCCATTTTTAGTCTGAAACGACATAGGGACTGTAGGCCCTGTTTTCAGGCTTTCGGGCTCAACAGTCACGGGGCCTGTAGGCCCTGGTTTTCAGGCTTTCAGCCTGAGGGACGCAGGGCCTGGAAAATGGCCCTCGTGTGCAGGCGGAGCATGTAACACCCCCCCCTCCTTATGAAGTCAAGCCGGGGCGAGGGCGAAGCCGACGATCTGAAGGTGGAACCTGGACGCGGGCGCGACGTGGAGCTGTTGCTTGAAGTTCCGCACGGGTCAACCAACGGTCAACTCGGTGTGTGCAGTATGCAAAGTGCACTAAATACTCGGTTGGCCTGTTGCCGTAGCGTTGCTGGGAGATGATGTCGCCGACCTCCTGAAAACCGTCCATGGAAGGTGGGTCTTGCGAACGTCTCCCGGAAAAATCGTCATGTTCCGCTGGCGTGTAAAGAGCCAACTTGGAGCAATGAAAGACTGGGTAGATGGGAAGGTGGCCGGGCACCTGAATCGTGAAGGAAGGTCCCTCGGGTGCGTCCCCAGCGGGTGCTACGATCGGCCAAGGCCCCATCCATTTCGGGAGGAGCTTGCGAGAGATGTCTTGTTCAAGGCTGAATTCCGCTGCGGAAACCCAAACGAGGGCCCCTGCGCGGAATGGGCAAGGAAGACGCTGGCGATTGGCCTGCTGGCTCATGCGTTGCTGCGTCTTAGCCATCTGATTGCGTGCCTTGACAAGAAGCTCTTGCATCCGACGCAAGAAAAGAAGATGGTTGTCGCTCTCGGTCGTCCGTGGAGTGATAGTGTCCAACGGTGAAGTGACCGGCGAGCCGTGCTCGAACTCAAAGGGCGATATCCTGATAGCCGGGTGGATAGAGGAGTTGTAGGCCAACTCGACATCCAGCAGCCGCTCAACCCTGTCCTTCTGGTCCGGACGAATGAGAGTGCGAAGGAGAACCTGTGCGGTCTGGTGCGCCTTCTCTGTTTGGCCATCGGTCTGAGGGTGGAGAGCTGAACTGGGCTTGAGAGATGAGCCCCATCGCTTGATGAGCGCCAACCAAAAATCGGACATGAACCGGGTGTCGCGGTCGCAGACGATCTCCTTGGGGTAACCCTTGGTTCGAATCCAACCGGCGTAAAGAACCTCGGCCAACTCCGATGCCTTGGCATGATAGCAACAAGGCAAGAACATGGCGAACTTGGTGAGTCGGTCGACCACCGTGAGAATCCCATCCACTCCGGTCTTGTGCTYGGGGAACGGGCCGGTAATGTCCATGGCAATCGCTTCCCTTCGCCTCAACGGGACTGGCAATGGTCGTAACTCGCCGTACGGACGATGGTTGCGGGATTTGCAACGTCGGCAAACCTCGCATGACTCGCAATAGCGCGTGACGTCGCGGAGAAGGTCGGGCCACCAAAATCGCTGGCGAAGTCGGCCAATCGTGCGATTGACTCCAAAGTGTCCGGTGGCAGGAGGATCATGGAACTCGCCAAGAAGCCGTGTACGCAAGTGAGGATCACTCGGTACGCAAAGAAGGTCCTTCCCCTGCGTGTGGACAAGCAAGTACCCCTCTTGGATCCGGTAGTGAGAAGGCACCGAATTATGAGAGGAGCAATTCATGTACTTGTCGTGAAACTCAGGGTCGGCTTGGTAGCCGCGGATGCTGTTCCGCAGGTCATCGTCGATCTCAAAGGTTGAGTAGACCGCGGTACAAAGATCCGGACGCCGTGAAAGAGCATCCACAAAACGGTTCGACTTCCCGGGAATGTGATCGGAAAAGAAGTCGAATTGGTTGATGAAAGCCATCCATCGAGCGATGGTGATGTTGACGGTGTCTTGGGTCTTGTAAAAGACCAACGGATTGTTGTCTGTTACCCATCGAAATTGGCTTCGACCAAGGAGGAAGTGTTGCCACCGCTTGAGCGCGTGGACGAAGGCGAGGAGCTCCTTCTTGCGTGCATCGTCAATGGAATGCACGACGGGCACTTTCTTGCTGAAATACTCGATCGGGTGCCAGTCCATACCATCATGTTGCTCGAGGCAAAAGCGGGTCGTATATCCGCAAGACCTCCGCGGACAATAGCGCGGCTTTGAGAGCCAAAAATGATTCCTGCGCCTCCTCTCCGAAGTCAAACGGTCGATCCTCGCATTGAAGCTTGGGCAAGTGGGCCGCGATCTTCGAATAGCCTTTGATGAAACGCTGATAGTAGCCGGCGAGACCAATGAACGAGCGGACATCCGTGACGTTCCGAGGCTCCGACCACTCTTGGATGACTTGAATCTTGTCCGATAGCGGACTGATGCCCTCCGGTGTGACAAAATGGCCCAAGTATTCCAGCTCTTGCCGGACAAATTCGCACTTGTCGCGGTTGGCCTTGTACTTGGCACGGCGGAGCGTCTCCAACACTCGTCGAAGATGCCCAAGATGATCCTCCAATGACCGGCTATAGACGACCAGCACGGACCGGTCCAACATTGCACGAAACTCATTGGTCATTGCCGCTTGGAAGGTCGCCGAGGCGTTGGTGAGGCCAAAAGTCATGACCACCCACTTAAAATGCTCGTACCGCGTCTTGAAAGCGGACTTGTAGTGATCGTTCGGTCGGATCGATTTGATGATATCCCGATTTCAAATCCAACTTAGAAAAATATTTTGCGTCGCCCAGTCGCTCAAGAAGATCGTCGATGCGAGGAAGAGGCCCCGCATTCTTGACGGTTTGCACGTTGAGCTTGCGGTAGTCGATACACAATCGTAGATCCTTGTTCTTCTTCCGGACGAAGAGAACCGGTGCTCCATATGGGGAGCTACTAGGGCGGATCCAGCCCTTGGCCAACAAATCGTTGACTTGTGCGCGGAGGACCTCAAGCTCCTCCTCGCTCATCCGATAGGCGCGGCACCGGCCTCAGAATGATCTCGTGAGAGATCGGCCGGTCCGGCACCACACCGGTAGGTGACTCAAAGATGTCGGCGAACTCATCCAGCAACCACCCGGGGGTCCGAAGACAAGTCCATGGGTGAAGCGTCGGCTACCGCGACGGTCCGTAGGAAACATAGGCCGATCTCCTCAGGCTGCTCGTAAGCGCAAGTCGCCCTGAATGATTTGGCCATCACCACTTGGCACCGAATCGAAGGGTGCGGTAGAGGAATAGTACACGCGACTTTCGCGCCGAAGGCGTCGCGAACGCTAAGAGTCCGCCGGTGGAAGTTGACCGTGTGATCCGCACTTGCAAGCCAAGGCATTCCCAGAATGATGTCGAAGTCTGTGTCGAGAATATCGAATGTCACCGGTTCGCATGCATGAGGTACGAAATAGACCGGTACGGCCTCGATGTAACGGTCGAGAAGTTGCTGCGTCTTTCCATCCGCCAACTTGATCGCCGTCGGGTTTGCCTTCCTCCGAACTTGTGCGCCAAGGCCAGCCCTTTGCATAAAGGATTGGCTCATGAAATTGCGAGCCGGGCCGCGTGCGAAACTCACGGGCCACCTTGGTAGTATACGCAAGGATGTCCCCCACCGCGACTTCGTCATCCGTCGGCGAAGTTGGTGGTGCATAGAAGGATAAGTAAGTGTGGAGATGAGCACATAATGTTGCGCATTGCGGTCCCGGCAAGCGGCCTGTGGTCGGGAGAGGAAGCCATGCAAAGTCCTCGGACGTGAGCGGGTCCAATACCTCTATGTTGAACTCGCGCGCCGAATCCCGTGAAGAACCACTTGAAGACGATATGTCGCCGTTGTTGGACGGAGAAGAAACCACACACACTCCTTGTCCTTGAGCTCGAGTACCCAGCGTAGGAACGAGCCGGGCAGCATAGTCCTCGAAAGAAAGTAGAAGAGGAGGACTATCGACTTCCGCATGCGCCTCGGAATGAAGGCCGGTTACTCGCGAAGAAACCGGTTCTGGAGGCGTCGAGAGTGTTGTCGAGTCACTCTCGGTGGTGCTCAGTTTCCCTGTTTGCCCTTGCCGGTCAATGGGCAGACCAGTGTCTGATGAAGGTCATTGTTGCACCATAGGCAATAGTGGAATCTCGTGCGCGCCTTGAAGGCTTGCTCGGAGATGCCGTACTGGGACCAAGGGGCTGGAGCTGCTGCGCCGGGCCCGGGGCTAGATGCGGTGTGTGTCTTCGTCTTGCCGCGTCCTCGGCCTCTGCCGGGGCGGCCACCTTCTCGGGCGGCTGCGAGTCTGTCTCCTTCATGGGCAGACACGGCCTCGCTGGTTTGGTCCAACGGCGTTGCCGCTGCGACCACGCCACTCTTGGCCGATGCTGGTCCCTGCTCGGGCCTGCCGCAGACGAACGCAAATTCTTCGCCTCCTTGTTCGTAATGATGATCTGCGCGGTCTTGTCAAACAGTTCCGCCATTGTCATCAAGGTGTCCTCGACGTGCGTCAGGGCATTGCTTAATGTCGGACATGACCTTGAGATGAAATAGTGGCGGATGGCTTTGAAGCCCATCTGGATGTCTGGGACTGACGTCAAGCGTTGGTACTCAGCGATCCAGTCGGTACTTGGCAGCGTGCCTTGCTCGAAGACCATGAGCTTGTCCATAGCCTTGATCTCGGGCGCCTCGACTTGGAACCGCTTGTGCCACGCCGCCTTCAGATCATCCCAACTGATCTTGGTGTGCAAGTTGTTAGCTACCACTCCGTACTTGGACAAGAGGTTGTCCAACCAAGCCTGGCACGCGCCCCCTGAGCGAGAGTACAAGTATGCGTGGTGTTTGTGTTCTTTGACGTTGTGTAGCTGCAGCGTGAGCTCGAACTTGCGGAACCATGGAACCGGATCTGTCTTCGTCGAGTCGCAGAAGATCTCCTGCCCGTCAAACTTTGGAGCTGTCTCGCGCGGTTTCGAACTTGAGGTATTGGCGGTAGTACAGATCCGCTGTTGCAACTGTTGCGTTGCGGTCTGCTGTAACTGCACGTCGTCCTTGAGGGAGCCGACGTCCATCTCCAATGCTTCGAGGCGATCGGAGGTATTGGAAGAGCTTGCATCGGGGGCGGCGACAGGTTGCTGCTCCAGCTGCTGAAGGCGGCCTTGGACTTGAGCTAGCGAGTCGTCGAGGCTGTGGATATCCTCCTGCTGTGTAATGCAGTTTGCCAGGAGGTCTGTGAGATGCGAGAGGAGGAGAGCGATCTTGTTTTCGCAATCCTCCAACTTGGCATTCTCGGCCTCGGTCCGCCATGGCGCTGCCATTGTGAGCAAGGTGTGCTCTCCGCTAAATATCTTCTCACGACGTTGGTTTCTTTCTTCATCGGCAGCCCTTGCTGCTGCCTCGTCATGCTGGCGTTGTTGTTCAAGTGCCAGCAGACGTGCCTGCTCAGCGTCCTCTGCCTTCTTCTTCACTGTTGCTGCTGCGTCATCTGCCCGTTTCTTTGTTTCAGTACTCCAAGCCAGCATCCGGGCCTGATAGGCCTCATCTGCTTCTCCGGACCTCTGGTCCATGACGGCTGTTTGTGACCGCAACAACATATACCAGGCCGGGGGCCTGCTGACGTGGTATTTCCTGCTTTGTCGGCTGATGTGGCCTGCTGACGTGTCCTGCTGACGTGGCCTGATGACGTGGTCTGCTGGCGTGTCCTACTGACGTAGTCTGCTGACGTGGCCTGCTGACGTGGCAACTCACCAATGCCATCGAAGGGGGTACCCGGAGATAGGTAGAGAAGGTAGGGCCAGAGGGGGCAACAACATAGGTTTGGAGGGTGGGTGGGGAGAATCGCCCAGATAAAGAGCCACTAATCAAAAAAAGAAAAGTTTGAACTTTGCAAAAAAAATTTTGAAATAATAAAATCCCGAGTTTTGCAAGTTCAGTAGGTGTGGCATACTGCGTAGCCACACGGGCCCTGCAGGGCCCGTCCCGCACTCTCAGCCTAAAAGCCTAGAAACAAGGGCTTACAGGCCCCGCGTCCATGTCAGCCTGATAGCCTGGAAACCAGGGCCTACAGGCCCCGTGGCTGTTTCAGCCTGACGGCCTGAAAACCAGGGCCTACAGGCCCCGTGGCTGTTTCAGCCTGACGGCCTGAAAACCAGGGCCTACAGGCCCTGTGTCTGTTTCAGCCTGACAGCCTGAAAACCAGGGCCTACAGGCCCCGTGTCATTTCAGCCTGACAGCCTGAAAACAAGGGCCTATAGCCCCTCAGGCGTTAGCCAGAAGCTACCTGGAAACTTCCCGGAAGCTTCCTCAGGCTTTAGCTAGAAGCTACCTGGAAACCTTYCGGAAGATTCCTCAGGGTCTAGCACGTTTGGGCATTGSCAAGAGCAGCCTCCTGGACGGGCCAGCACTATCTAAGACTGGCCCGCCCTACAGAYAGAAGGCAGTTGGACAGTAGGACGAGTAGTCTTCAGGATTCAGCCGCAGCACTCAGGAGGAGCGCTGTCAGGAGTAGCTGAGCGCTAGYAGTAGTCTTCAGCGCTGGGCGCTAGTAGCCATAGCAGTAGTCTTCAGCGCTGGGCGCTAGAAGGTGGTAGTGGTAGTGTGGGAGAGAGATGGCTGGCGGAGGCCAGCGAGACTTACCTATGGCGCCATAGCTCCAGCTCCATCTTCGAGGTACCTGCATCAAGGCGCCATCTTCACAGGTTAGTACTCGACAGAGAGAGAGAGAGAGAGAGAGAGTTCTTCTTCTTCCTCTTCTATGTCCACCATCTCTTCTTCCCCTCTCACCACCTGACTTCTCAGTATCAGCGGTTTACTACAGAGAGAGAGAGTTGTGACTTGGGACTTGACGACATTGGATCCAGACTCGACATTTGGGATTCAGACATTTTGACGAGGGACTATTTGG